AACTGCGAGGGATTTATGCCTAGAGTGCAGCATGGTTTGGCATATGAAAACTAATTAATAAAATGTACCACATTAAAGGAATGAATCGGGGAAATACTACACAATCTTCCCAATTAGTAGAGAAAAAGCATTTGACATGACATCATTTCATGATGAAAACACTTAATAAGGAACAGAAAATATCTCAACACAATTGGGATCCTTATACAAAAAGCATTCAGTTAACAAAATACTTAATGCTGAAAAACTTTTCCTCTACAATCAGGCAAGGATGCCCACTCTGACACTTCTAATTCAACAAAATATTAGAAGACCTATCCAGAACAATTATGTAAAAGAAAGACATAAACGGCATTCAAATTGTAATGGAAGGAAAAATAATTTGTGTTCATAGATGGCATAGTTTTAGAAAGAAACTTAAAGATGCTACAGGAAAGAAAGTCTTAGAAATAATATATGAATACAGCAAAATTGCAGGATACAAAATCAAGCCAATCAGTTGCACTTCTATACACTGTTTGATTTGAAAAGGAAATTAAGAAAACAATTCTATTTATAATAGCATCAAAAATAATTAAATACTTTTAAAAAAACACAGAGGGGAAAATTCATTTGATTTTATTTGGCACTGCCTTCTTGGATATGACACCAAAAGCGAGGTGACATGAGAAACATATAGATATACTGATTTTCATCAAATTTTGAAAATTGGTGCATCAATGCCATGATCAACAGTAAATAGGTACATTGTAGAATGGGAAAAAATATTTGTGATTATACGTCTGTTAAGAAATTTATATCTGGAATGTAGAGAGAGCTTTTACAACTTTAAAACAAATCCAATTAAAAATGAGCAAAAAACTTTTTAACTGACATCTCTCCAAAGAAATCAATTTCATAGAAAGGCAAATACAAATCAAACTTACTTCTTACCTATCAAGCTTGATATTATCAAAATATCAGAAAATAACATATGTTGGTAAGGATGTGAATTAATTGGAACTCTCCTGCATTACAAATGGGAATGTAAAAAATGGTACTCATTATGAAAACAGTATGGTGACTTCTTCAAAAATTAAACACAGAATTAACAAATAATTCAACAATTCCATTCTAGATTCTGTGATCAAAAAAAGTGAAAGCAGGGACTCAGATATTTATATACTAATATGCACGAAATAGCATTGTTTACCATAGTAAAAAGGTAAAGCAACACAAGTGTCCATCAAATGAATGAATATTAAAAATGTGGTATATACATACAGGAATATTTTTCAGTGTAAAGGAAGGAAATTCTGATACATTCTACACTATGGATGAACCTTGTAGATGTTATACTAGGAGAAATAATCCAATCTCAAAAGAACAAATAGTATATGATCCCACTAATGAGGCACCTAAAGCAGTCAATACATAGACATTAGAATGGTGGACTTCAGAAAGGAATGGTATGCTATCGTTTAACGAATATGGGTGTTTGTGTAGAAGAAAAGATTCTAAGATTGATGTCGATAGCTATATAACAATATGAATACACTGTTACTGAATTGTACAGTTAAAGTGATTAAAATGGTATATTTTGTTATATATATCTTTCCACAATAAAAATACAGCATCTAGATATTTCAGGATGTCACACTGTGATTTGGAATAAACATCCCTGAATCATTTGGAAATTACCACGAAGGTTCATCTATCTGTCCCTGTTTTTTTTTTTTTTTTCTTCAATTATGGATGCATCCTGACACAGCCTGATGTATTCAATCCTAGCCACCGGAATATAAGATTCAAGTGTATAAGAACAAATATCATACAATGCAAAGAAACAACTATCATGTTACAGACATTGCACCTGGTAGCAATAACAACAGGGGAAAGAAACTAAAACTGAAGTAGAAATATAAACAGTAATTTCTACAAAATGTGATGCATGCCAGCTGGATTCCATGCTCAGAGTACAAGAAAAGTACAAATGAACAAACCTTGACTCTTTACTCTGAAATATGCTCGACATAGCTGTGATAAATGCATTGTATTTTAATGATCTGTCAAGATATTAAAAAATATTTCATACTCAATATAAAAACTATAAGTTGCAATAATTCTATCCACAAAACAATTTCCAATTGATGGTAAACCTCTCTCATTGTTATTTAAAAAACTAATAAAATCATGGCAATGAGAAATTATATATCAGGAACAGAATCAATAAAGAAATTTCTTAGCTAAAGTTCTGGCATTTGTACTTCTAACAGGTATTGCGATGGCAAGTCATCTTGAGATATTCAGATTATACTAAAAAATCATACTGTTGGAAATCAACATTGACTTTAATTATTAACCCTACTATTAATATAAAGATGACATTTGAGATTTCATTTTATTTGACTAAAAATAAGAAAGCAGAAAAAGATATCATTCATAAAGCCTTCAAGAACAATGAGTTCAGGGTCAAAAATGAGGAAAACAATCTTGTGAACTTTGTGATCTTACAGTTCTCATGAATATGTGTTTGCATGTGTGTGCTTTCGTGAGAAAGAGTAGATATCACGGTAGTCTTTAAAAAAAAAAGCTTTCCATTTAAGCATAAAATTTTCAACAGTAGGATCCGAAATAGTTAATTATGATATTTCTTAATATTTTCAAAGCAGATTTTAAGAACTATTTATGATGGTGGCTAACTCTCCTTTTCAACAGTTCTTTAGGCTACAGTAAGATGACATATAAATAAAAGATAGTCATATAATGATGTGAAAAGCAAAAACTGGAGCACAAATACTGATATGAACGTACATAATTAAATGACCTAAAAGCAAAGAAAATGCAGCAATAGAAAAAGAAATTTCTAAAAAAATCTAGAAAAATTATTTCAGACTGAGAAATAACATTTAAAATTTTCCCTGATTTCACTGCTTGAAATTGGATGTGTTATAAACCCACCAACCAAAATTTTGGTCTGGTCAGGGGTAAGAAAGAATTCATTAGTCACTCTAAAATTGTTGAGGATTTATTAACTTTGGATATCCTTCCAAACATGAGGCAAAAAGGATTCAAACTATTCAGTGTACCTAGGAACATGGGGATATTTTATGACTTATCATACATTTTAAGCTATAAGCATCTCAGCAATTGTTTCTTCAAGTCAGATATATCTTGGGGCTGAAGTCGAGAATAAAATTGGTTGAAGGAATAGTGGTGGAGCACTATGTGGAAGCATATTTACATCTTTGGTGTAAGAAATTGTAACTGATGTGATTCTGCAATCTGTGTATGGGGTGAAGGTGGGAGTTCATAACTCACTTGAATCAAAGTGTGGAATATGATATGTCAAGAAATTTGTAATGTTTTGAACAACCAACAATAAAAAATTAAAAAAAAAAAAGAAAAGAAATAAGAGAACTTAATGTAACTAGATTCCGTGCCTTTAACCAAAATTCCACTAAGCCTACAATTATTTATTTTACTGGTGATGAAGATCCTTCAAGAAGCAGTTTTTCAAATTCAACCAATATTTCTCTTCATTCTTTTCAAGATGCACATCTGTCATTCCAGTCTTAAAAACTATTCTAGTGAGTTAGTTGAAAATGCTAAAGTCTTAATGGGAAATAGTGTAGTGCTCTTCACAAAATGGTCACTAAATCCACTGCACCAGAATCCCAAGACATTTGATAAGTTTTCAAAATCTAAACCTGGAATCTCCAAGAGGAAGAAATCTCCACTTTAAAAATCACCAGCTACTGCACATTAAATTTTAAGATCTAAAGGCTTAGTCTTTTTAGATAACATGTTTTGATTACTATAGTGACTTTATAGAAAAAAATATAAATTTATACTGTGGTAATCATGGCATATAAAGGAAACTTTGAACATAATGTCCTTGAATCTGAATATCACAGCAACTGATAAAATTTTATTTTCCTTAGAAAAAGCATCTGATCCTCAGTTATTCTGTAAATGCAAACAAAATTTAATTACTTAATGCCTGGGAGCATAAAAATGTTCAATACTTATGAGCTATTAATTTGTTCAAAAATTGTGAGCTGACAAAAATTGTTACTTTCACACTGAGAAGACAATGAAATAAGCAACAAATCAATATTAAGATAAACAGGTAAAAGCTTAAGTTTCAAAAAGTATTTGCTTTTACTGCTTTCTCCAAACTTCTTAGGGAATCATTTGCCATAACTTTCCAACTAAGTGCCTTACAGTCAATCCACAATTCTCTCCCAGCTACACAACCACATACAGTATATCCTTGTTTTCACTCACATCACTATTTACTGTTGCTGGGAACACTGACATTCTCTCTTAAATTAGGGATTTTTCTCAGTTTAACTTTTTTAGAATATACTTTAATAATTCCCTGAAGAAACATAGTCTCTACCAAGGTTTATTTCAATACCTTTGTTTCTATTTTCTGAATCTACTCTATCTTATATGAATTTAAAGCCACTCCCTCAAATTTCCATATAATTTGTTGATTCTAAACTATTTCAATAGGTTTAACAAAGATTTTTTTATATGAAAAATATGTAACATATAGTAGTGGCTGAATGGGGTAGTGCAGTGAGATGAAGCAGTCTTTCACTTAATATCCTTAGAAAAGATGGACAGGATTGAGTAGTGATGTCTGCTATGGGAATGGGAGATGAGAATGGCCTTTTAATATGGAACAATTTAGATGAATGGGATCAAAGCCAATCAGAATTTGGCACAATATGATACTGCAACCTTTCATCTAAACTTAAATTACAAAACCCTGCCATAGGTATTCAAAGATGTTTGTGATCAAAGGACACATGAATTGTTTGATTATACCACAAGTGGTTAACTTGCTTCTCTCAGATCTTCATTGGACTAGTCCATGAATGCCAAGTGCATATTTGAAGGGCCATTTCATGAAAGGAAATATGATGCTCAAAGAATCTCTGATAACCTCCAAAGGATTATTCTCATGTCTGCTATATTTAGGATAATATAGGTTAAATAATTAGAAAAAATTAGCAAGTTCAGCTTTCACTTTATTCTCCAAGGTATGGGTTGTTTAACAAAATAAACATTAAAGTAACCAGTGCCCAACATCATATGAGAAATATCAAGAGCTTCCTATTAAATAGCACAAGAAAGATAAAATCAGTGAGGTATTTGGCCAATCCAAGAGGGATAAATATGTAACATAAAATGGCTCAAAGGGTTAAAGAAATTTCAAATGAAGAATATATTATTTCTGTGAAGACAGTGATGCCTAGAGAAAAAAATCAAATGTTTAATTTTCTGATCATTTATATATTATGAATCACATATATAAATTCATAAACTAACTATATAGGAAATATTATAGACTTCAATGTGCCTGAAGAAAGCAAGTACATGTTCTCCTTGCAAACTTATAATACTCTTATTATTAAACTAAGACACATATCCAATAAGCAAACATTTCTTTAATTCTAAGACAGCATTAAATACAAATACTGTTCCTGATAACAAAATTTTAAAATGAATGAGGCTGTCACTTAGCCTTTTTATAAATAAACAGGAAATGCAGGTAAAAATATAGCAAACTGTTGATAGCAATCAGTACTGCAACAAAGTTAGATGAGATTCCTGTAGCTTCCAGGTGTCTTCATGATTGAAATAAATGACTCCTTAAGATATAAAGCAAAACAAATTAAATTATGAGTAGATGCCTAACTTCACCATACTATATGTAAATGCACATGTATATTTGACACCTAGATACGTAGCTAGATAAAACAAAAAACATCAAACAGTTCAATAAGTTAAATTTAAAAACTAGTCTCACACTTTTAAACGAAAAAACTATTTCATGGAAAACTTATTTATCGCCCGTATTTCTCTTAAATGACATCCTACTTATTGAGAATTAAGCTTCCAGGGATATATAAATGTAATGAAAAAGGCCAAGTAATTTAATTAGATATAAAACTTACACTTTCAGGTATATGAATCTCTATGGCTTTAGTTTTTCTCCTACACAAAAGATAAATATATAATGATTATTAGAATGATCTTAATATTTACTATCACTTTCTGTTATAACATTTTTTATCAATTTTTCAAATCACCACTACCATACCACCATCACACTAAGAGTTAAATTTAGTTAGTTTCTAGAAACTCCTGAGGTGAGAAGAGTGATAATAGTGGAAGGGGCAAAAGAGAAAATTGTTTGATTTCAACCAAACTTTTTATAAATCAAATTAAGTTTTTTACTATTTACTATTATTAAATTTAGAAGAGCCCAGTGCTAGTGCCAAGGATGATATAAGTACCTAATATACAGTTCCTCTTGCCTTTAAATTCCAGGCATCTATAAATATTGTTGCACATAATTGTTATTATGATAGTAATAGGGTGTTGTTGACAAACCACTCATTTTGCCAATTAATGTAAAATATATCACTATTTTTTATTAATATAAACATTTTATATTACAAGTGATTTTTTCATTCTTGTTTTCAATAGTTTGTCCCTAAAACCTTGATAAGTTAAATATTATTCAGGCATAATGATTTTTCATTGCAGAAATGCTTTCCAATGTTCTCTGAAAGTCATGAGCCCTTGGTGACTATTAACAAAAAGTGGTAAACTGTAGGATAGATGATTCATTATTTTCCAGTAAGTTTGCTCTTGTTTTGATTGGTAACTGTCACCATTTAGGGATAAGAATGCCAATGAATTCCTTTAGTGTTTATTTCTGTGGGTGTAATATGCAGTAGTTCATAATTACAATGATTGCATTTTACCTATTTTTATGGAACATTCTAAGAGTTCCATCCTGGTGCCACACCACCATTGCTTTAATAAGACACATAATTGCTTAAATGGATTTCAGCTCTTTAGTTGTCACTTATAGCAAGTTCCAATAATACACAGTAAGGAAGAATTTGTACTACCTTCTAAAGATGCTTTCTGCTGAGAACTCAGGATGTGCTCACAAATGGCATGATTTCCCTGGTAGTTTTATTTCAATGTATTGAAGTGCACTTGGAGATTTTTTTTTTTTTTTTTCCCCAAAGAAAGAAAGAAAACATCAATAGTTTTCCATGGCTTCCGGGTGAAGGCATTGACTCTCAATAGCTATCAGGGTAAAGGTAAAAAGCCCTTGTGAACTCAGCACTTTTGTATCTTCTGTAACAAGCTCTGCTTTGGCTACTTGTACTCTTGATTGCAGGAGTCTCTCATTTCCTATACTTCACCCAGGATGCTTCTTTTGCCTAGTAAACATGATCATCTTTGCTGCTGACAATTCTCTTAGTCTTTAGAAATAGCAAAACATTTTTGTTACAAATAGCCTTTCACATTTTATTTTCCTTAATTTCTCCACTTAGAAAGGGCAGGGCTACTGTCTTTTTATTTATTTATTTATTTATAATTCTTAGGTCTTATGTTTAGCATATAGCTGACATTCAATAAATATTTGATGAACTCTGTCTCTGGATAATTGCATATATTTAAAATGACATTCAAAAGGCAGCTTTTGGGAAAGCCTTCCATTAGTATTATCCAACAAATGTTTAGTAAACAATTTTCAAGTATGAAGGAACTAGTATACACTCATTTGTGGATGCAATGATACGTATGTTCCTGTACTGAGGAATTTACAAAGCAAATGTTTGATGACAGGATCTATATATGATAAAATAAAAAGTCATTAATACATATCAAGCAGTCACTATTTTCATTAGGTCACTATTGTTATATCTAATATATGGAGGGGTTCACCAGGTAAATAAGCATGGAATATAATATGCTCCAATTCAGTCCATAGTACTTCTTTCCTTCCTTTTCCTGATGTTCCTTCTATTTTCAATAGTGCACGTGGAGATATATATATAAAGGTGAAATTCATTGTGGCATATTCATACATGTATATAGGAAAGTTTGGTTGGATTCATTCCACTTTTCTCCATGTTCCCAACAATCCCCTTCCTCTACTCCACTGGTCCTTCTTCTATTTTCTCGGAATCCCCACTCAGCCTTTTTCTTTCCCCATCTTATTTCCATTCTCCCTACCAGTTTTTTTTTTTTTTTTGTGTGTGTGTGTGTGTGTCTAGATACATACCACAAACATGTACATGTATTACGTATTTTTTGGTTGAATTTCTATACTGAAATTTCTATACTGAATTTACCATTTCTTTCCTTTTCCTCCTTTTTCCTCATGTTGAAAATGATATACTGGAAGAAAGGCACTGTAATCAATACTAACAGAGTTTTCAAGCTAGAAACAGTACATTTTACCTCAGTAAACGATTATCTTCATTTGAGTATCCAAATGAACAAATCAGAAATAATGCCATATTTCAGTAAACAGATATTTCAAATTAGTCCTTCATTTCTGACTATCTGGGAAGGGCAACCCAGGCCTTACATATATGGAGATATGGAAAGTATATTTTCCCTCAAACATATACATAAAGCATAAATTGTTTAATGATTAGTTATAATATATTGAATTTCAATATAATTACTTTAAAAAAAAAAAAAAAAAAAACATTTTGTGATGCTGGGAATGGAACCCAGGGCATCACACATGCCAGGCAAGTGCTTTACCTCTGAGCTATAGCCCTAGCACCAACATAACTATTTTTTAACTAATTCAAGTCCCTCTGGCAATTTAATATTTAGAAATGCATATTAAATAAGCATCTGAAAATCTAATGTTTATATACTGTAGAGTGTCTTGAAGATTATTATTATTTTTTAAATGTGGTGCTGAGGATCGAATCCAGTGACTCACACATGTGAGGCAAGTGTTCTACTGCTTAGTCACAGCACCAGCCATTGAAGATTATTTTTAAAACTTTGTTAAAAGGTTTATGTTTAACTTAACAACATAAGCTGAAGAATTTATACTGCTTAAAAACAATAGTTTAAAAAGTCCTCAACACAAATATAAAATATGTTAATTCTAGAACCAGGTCATTCAAGGTTTCAAGAGCAAGGTATTTCAGTGAAGCACATTAATTAATGGGTTACAAATCCAAACACTAAGTTTCTCAGTGCCTGATAATTCTAAGTATCAAAGGGTTATTTAAAGACTGGACTACAAATAATAATAAAGTGAATTTATTTAATTTCACACTCAGTATTAATTTTTTTTGCATAAAAAAGGCATAAAGAGGTTCAAAATGGAGACAAATATTTTACAAGTTGTGTCGATTCTATAACATAGGATTAAGATGTATCAACCTCAGAAATACTCTAAAATGGGAGAAAATTAATGTGTGAATAATTTTCAAACTTAACAGAAATTTCTCAGATATTATGACTGATAATTCCATATACTTCATAGATATTTGTTTTAATCCTCTTTGGAAGAATATGCTCATGAAAATGATAAAATACACAGACCATTTTCACATAAATATGAATTCATGACAAAGGGGGAAAAAGGCATTTGTTTTTAGGGGACGGTCAACACATTCACTGATTGCCATTTCCATAAAACACAAAATTTTAGTAATGTAAAAAAGAGAAGCAGAAAACAGCCTTTTTTATTAGATTATAAACAGTGTAAAATATTAGAAGTGGCTTGGTTTTCTAAATTTTTAAGTTGTAAAGATAGAAGGAGAGGGATTACCTTTGCCAGAAATATCCAGAATATCAAGAATATTTACCTGACAAAAATCACACAAATAAAGAATATTTAATAAACTGTTCCATTTCTTGCACCAGGCCCAGGCAGGCCTACAGAACAGTTTATTGACATGTGACATCACCTGGAATTTTAAAAAAATGTTTATTATCCTTTTAATATTAAAAATAAAAAAAAAAAAAAAAAAAAAACAACTTAGAAAATAGTACCTTGAAAAAGTTTTATCTTTTTTGTACGGTTCCTTTGGAAATTAATACTCCTGACTGGTGGGATGGACAAGGACAGTATGAAAATGATGTGTTAAGAGAATTTTTAATATTTAGACCTCTGTCAGAAAAAGGAATAGTTTAGAAAAGGTGGATGGAACAGAAGTTGAAATGTGTAAGTAAAATGCCTTTTCTGGTGTAACTTCTGTGAAACATCGTACAAATTCTTTTTTTCTTTTTTTTTTTTAAAGAGAGAGAGAGAATTTTTTAATATTTATTTTTTAGTTTTTGGTGGACACAACATCTTTATTTTTACGTGGTGCTGGGGATCGAACCCAGTGCCCCACGCATGCCAGGCAAGCGCGTGGTTACTGCTTGAGCCACATCCCCAGCCCCATACAAATTCTTTAAGTCAGACTTAAAACCTCATGTATGTGTTATGTTCCTTTTTCATTTTTTTAAAACTATTTATATTTTCAACAAATATTTGTGTATCTTTCCTCTTCAAGCACTACGATTACATATGCACATACAAAATGCATACATAGGTGTGTGTGTGTGTATATATATATATATATATAACTAATAAATATATAATAAATGAGTTATAGGTTTCATCATTTGATACAAATGAAATAAAAATTAATAGTAAAAATCACAAAAATTGGTGGATGAAAAATGATAAATAATTCTCTCAAATTCATTTAGAAACTAAACAGTATTCTAAAAACATTTTAAAAGTAAAAGCAATGTAAGAAACTTCCTTGAGTTAACACTAAAATTACAATCTATTTAGTAATAATGTATAGATCATGTATTAAAATATGAGATACTCTCAGCATGGTACTCAAATAAAAATGGGCATGCTAAAATGTATTTATCAGAAGAAAGGGGCATTTATCAAATATTATTTCTATTATTTTTTAATTATACAAATATTGAAAAAGAAAGCATAACAAAAGACAATAGGAAAATAATAAAAGAACACACTAAAAGCAGTATTAAAGCCATTTTGTGCTTTTTAAATGAAGTAGTAAAAAAGGCAAAAGTCCTCAACAGAAATAAAAAGTGGGAAAACATACAGATATAAAGAACAATAAAACTACATATTTTATAATTTTTCTAAATGTTTCTAAATAGTATCCATGAGTGGACAGAAGTGAACAAAATTCCTCCTGTTTTATATGAGAGTTCAATATATACTTATAAAGTTTAGAAAACAATGAACAGTTCATTGTAAGACTACAACATACAAATACAAAAAATATGTGATATTGGCCCACAAAATTCTAAATTATAAACTCTTCCACCAAGTAGAACAAAGTGTTTACATATATTCGGTCTAAGGTAATAAAATGCTGGCTCGAAATATGATCCTTGAGCCACAACCAAAAATATAACCCCCACCCCTGCTCAAAAAGAGACTCAGGTCTAACTTCTTGAAATAAAAAACAAAAAAAGAAATTAAAACTTAAGTTAATGATTCAACAATTAATCTAGATTAACTACAGGCAATTAACATAACGAATTTAAGGAAACTAGAATGCAACCTAGAGAAAAAGAATAATGATAAATACAAAAGACAGTTAATATGAAGAAAAAATAAAGAAAATCTCATTGAGGTCTTAGAGGAAGGTAATATGAAAGGGTGATAAGAGCACATTTTAAAGCCAATCTGAAAATACATTTTATTTCTTAAAAGACTGACAATTGCAGACTTAGAAAGTCCAGTTAATGCCAAAAAGGGAAAAAAGAAAAAGCACACCCCAAACTATTCATAAACACAATACTATACTCTTAGTACAACTTCAGTAAAGCACCAAAAATAGAGGAGTTGTTTAAGTAGCCAGTGGATAAAACAAAATATCACAGAATGTTAAAACTGATAGCTGATTTGTCATCAGCAAAAATGAAAGTCAGATCAACATGGGAACATATATTTCATGTTAAGTGAAAGTGCCTGACTCCAATCATTTTTTATATAATGAAAGTATTTTCAAGAATTAGGGTGAAATCACTTATTTTTAGGTACTGGGAATTGAATTTAGGGACATTCTACCACTGAGCTACACTCTCAACCCTTTTCATTTTTTAGTTTGAGACAGTATTCCATTAAGTTGCCAAGACTGGTCTTGAACTTAACAGTCATGCCTCTTCAGCCTCCCACAATGCTGGGATTACAGGAGTGTGCCACCACTAGAAGCGAAAATATTTTCATATTAAAAACTAAAGTGTTATATAGGCTACAAACACTAAAGGAAAATCTCCACAAGGTGATATTATTTCATATGAAAAGTTCAAAAATGCAAAAATAAAATAGGCAAGAATGGTAAATAAATGAATAAATTAAGCAGTGACTAAATAAAACAAGTCTAATTTGTGAAAACAGGCTACAAGTAATACACTAGGCAAAAACAGTAGTTAATAATGGGATGATCCGTCAATGGTAATGGCCTTCTAGACTCCATTTATCGGTGAAGAAGATCAATATTCTTTACACTTAAGATTTTGTTAAGTATAAAAACTAAACTAGTGGAGAAAAGCTTCTAAATAAGAAGAATAAGAATAAGAACAATAGGATACAAAAAAAAACAAGATATAAATAAGAGCACATGAAAAAATGACACAAATACAAAATCGAAAAGACAAATATTATAGAACCTTATTTTTTTTATAAAATAGTCTTTTAAATGCTGCATGAAATGGTAAATTTAAGGATGAAGAAAGATTGAAACAAAAATGTTCTACTTGAAAAGTAGGAAAAGATATGACAGACAAAGAATAACCAAAAGAGAATCAGCAAAGTTATATTGATATTAAAAGTATTTAATTTCAAGTCTAAAACCGCTGGCTTAAAGATTAGAGAGCAATGGCACAATAAAGGTAAAGTTCTGGCACAATAAAGGTTCAGTTCTGAAGAAAGATATAAATGTCAACATTTATGTACCTTAACAAAGCAGCTGTAAATCACAATAAGCAAACTTAACTACTAAAAGAAATAAACAAAGCCACTATCATAGCTGGAGACTTGAACACACCTCTCAGAGAAGATAATACTCAGACCACAAAAATCTAAGTATATAGAAAATTATAACCAAACACACACATACACAAACATAATCTAACAAACAGAAAATACTACATACAATTCTAAGAGAAACATTCTTTTCTCATATCAGACATTAAAAAAATAAAATAAAAATCGAGGCTTCTGTTTTAAAATTTAATTATGCAGGTAACATTCTCTAGCCAAATTAGAATTTATGAAGATTATCTTCCCACAAAGATATAGCAGAAAACTTCAAAATTATTATTCAAAGAAATTCAGGAAGAAGAAAAAAAGAGAAAATTAAAAATGGCATGAATTGGATGATTGTGAAAACTTAGAGGAAGAAATTATAATCTTAAGTGTTTATTTGGGAAAACAAATATTGAGAGTTATTATCTGATAAAAATGAGAATTTACAAAAGTAGTATTCTCCACCCAAAGTTACAAGCAAGGAAATGATCCAGAAACCACAAGTTAATGAAACATAACATTCAATGCTGGACTATAAAAACCAATCTTTCAACGTAATAAAATGAACAAGCATCTGAAGAGTAACCAAGGAAAGTATTAGATAACACACAAAGGGGTATCAGGAATGTAACATTAGGCCATTCTTAAAGGTTAAATGAGCTCATCACTGTAGCTCCTCCAGTTCACATCATGGGTCCTTAGCACAACACAGGAACTCAACAAACATTTGGGTTAATGAAAAACAATATCTTCCTCCATTTATCCACCTGTGTAAATAGTCTCCTTGAATTAAGCTCAGCATATTTGCTTCATGTGGATTTCGGCAAAAAACTCAAGGCCCTGGCCATCTACACCATCTATTTCACACCTGTCCCAACACCTATCATGTTATTAGCCTTTGAAAATCTGTAGTTCTTTCTACCAGCTTGTGAAGATGAACAAACAGGTAACTGAGCCAGGACTTTTAATTGACAGACTTCAGAGGCTGACCCACCTAGGTCACAGTCAGAAATCAGGCTGTATTCAAGCATTCATAATCCAATCTGCTGGGGAAGATGGAGAGAGGGTTAGACCAGATGGGTCTGGCATAGGGATGATGAACCAAGCTTCACCATAACATCTCTTTCCTTCTTCCCACTTCCAATCCCATCAATGGGTAGCAGAGCTCAAATGCAGTAAAAGGCACACCAGGGGTTCACCTTCCTTCCATACCTGCAGTTCAGGGACACCAAAGACTGAGATGAGCTGTTGACCTGTTCTAGGGTCTTGCCCAGACTGCTGTCAGCCAGGCAGACAGAGCAAGTTCATGTCTACAGCAGATAGAGGACTACTGGCCTTGGAGAAGTATGGTATGGAAAGTGAGTAATGTCAAGTTCCCAGCTCCTCTACTGCCTTCCCATTTGTTCCAATTCTCATTCACTTTGGAGGACATACCAATCTCTCCCATGATGTCCCCAGTGTTTACCCTCTGTCCAGGGGTTGGGACAACTGCTGGGGCTTACCCTTAAGCAGTTACATGTGGAAGGGTAGCTCCTGTAGTAGCTCTGCTCTCAGCCTCTGCCTCAGGGACCAGCTGCTTACCCTGCAGGGTATACAGGAGCTGAAGGAAGGTCTGGTGCCTGGAAGGAAGTATGTGTAAGGGGAGAGAATCTCAGCTGGATTACATCAATTTTCAGCCAATGTTCCCATCTCACCTCTGCAGTTTATCCTGTTCCCATTCTGCCTGCTTTTTCAAGGTTCCAAGTTCCTGATGTAGCTGCTCAAGCTTCTGCTGAATTCCCTTCTGACGTTCCTTCAGCCCTGCAGAGACTTCTGCCAGACTCTGCAGATGTTTCTCCTATTGGGAATAAGGGTGTAGACAAATCTCATCCAATGTGGAAGTCTTGGTGCCATCTCTCCAATCCCACCAGCCTAGAACTAGTTCACTGATGGAAACAGAGACCTAGTCATTTCCAATTAGAAATAGGAACCTAGAGAAAAGGAAGGACTCACCTGTTGTAGTTTCCGCTGCTTCTGGGCGGCTTTGAATTTCTCCATTACTGCTTGCTTCTGCAGATAAGCGAGAGAGATACAAAGAAAATATTTTTTTCAGATAGGGTTTTTGGAGATAGCAATCAGGTTTAGTTTACTCATTCTTTTCCTCTTCATCTCTTCCTTCCCTTCCCTCCCTCAAGCACCTTGGCTTGGAGCTGCTCAAAGGCCTCCTGGAGCTGAACACGCTTCCTTTGGACCTCCTCCATCTGGGGCAGGGCCTGGGTCATGGTGCTTTTTATGGCCTCTACATGCTCTTGATAGGTAGCCTTCAGCTCTTTCCATTGTTCTTTGGCTTCAGTTGCCTTCTGTCCTGAGATGAGCCACCAAGAATGAAGGTATGAGTGAAGCTGGCCTGCAGCCTCCCTCCCTGAAATAGTGGGCCTCAGTCTTCTCTATAGTCAGCTGACCTAATCCACTTCCTCTCTCCTTGCCCCTCAGACCAGTCCCTACCCGAATCCCAAATCCCTTGACTACTCACGGCTCACGTCTTCAGAAGCCAAGGGGCCCAGGTCCTGGGCAATGTCCTCCTGAGCCAGGAAATTCTGTAGGAAGTATACTACCTGAAGTTGGCTGCAGAGCAGCTTGTCTTTCTTTCGGGAATTCTGTTCAGAAGAAGGGTAGAGGCAGGGAACAGTCATACCTACTTGCAACATAGGCCAACAAAACTGCCTTCCACTTCAGTCTTCATCAATGCTGCCCAGCATCTCAAGAGAAAGCTCTAGAATCAGACCCTGCCTTCGGAAAAGTTGGCTCCCATCAGTGTACATACGCTCAAAAACTCAGCCAGGATCCGAGCTGGCAGCTCCGCCTCTTCCTGTAAGCCTACAGGTTCCCCAATGTCTGCCACTTCAGCCAGGACCCTGAAGGCAAGGAGGCAAGGAAATGGGTGTTTGCAGTTTTCTGGGCTGCCAGCTCTACAGTTCACATAAATAGGTAGAGGATCTATCAATGCTGAGTCTCACCCTGACCAACATCTACACAAAGGCCTGAAGAGTCTATAGCCTAAGACCACTCCTGGGGGGTGTGTGTGTGTGTGTGTGTGTGTAGAACATAGGGTGGTAATTAAGTGCGTGAAGCAAATCTACAGAGCAAAGGGGATAAAGGAATATGGGAAGAGGGCTGAAATTTTAATGAAAAGTCTCACTAAAAAACCGAGTCAAGAGCTGGGGATAAGGCTCAAGCGGTAGCGCGCCCACCTGTCATGCGCAGGGCGCTTGTGTCCACCTAAAGCTAAAAAATAAATATTTTAAAAAAAGGAAAAAGAAATTGAGTCAAGATGTGAAAGCAGCCAGGGAGAAAGGCAGGCAAAGTTAAGAATATGGGCAGAGCTCTGATGGCCCTTGGAAGCCCTCCTAGCAGGGAGCACTAGTCTTAGGACAGGGTATGAGAATACCTGAGGAAGGACTAAAGACACAGGGCAGGGCATCTTGGTCTTGGGTCTCAGGTTTTTCCTGGCTAGGGACTGAAGGAGGCCACCAGGGAGCAGAGACTGGGAAAATATCCCATAGCAAAAAGGTTATTTAGGGAGAGTAGACTGTCTAGGCTGTCTCAAGAGAGTGGAAATTCAGTTAGAATGGCTAATAGGAGTGAAGGGATGTGGAGGACGGGTAGGGAACTGTCCTCCTTCTAAGGCACATCTCTGGTGAGAGGGCGAGGCAGGGTGATGATGGTTTTAGTCCCTCAGAAACCGCACTCCTGGAGCCTGCAAGAGACACTTCAGAAAACTGAGACTGGAAACTGGGATCAGGACCAATTCGTAGAGGAGTCGAACTCCAACAGCTGTTCGGAATCCAAAGAACCAAACATTGTAGATGGAGGCCTGCAGGTTCTCCTCCACCCGGCTCCCAGAGGCCAAATGCTAGCGAATACTTACTCTAAAACTGCAGCTTCCGCCTGCGTCTCTACAGCCTCCATGACCGGGCCGCGCCGCACCACGCTACGCCCAGTTATGTTCCGTTTTGGATTCACCACGGACTGCGCGCCTGAGCAGGCGATTGAAGGCTGAATCAGTGGGCGGAAATTAAGAACACAGCGCGCTCTAATTGGCTGGTGCGAATTCGCGCCGCACGGTTGACGCAGGCGCAGTTGTGGCCAGGCCGCGGAGAGCGCGCAGGGTTTATGCGCCTGCGCAAGAGGTCGTGGGCGGTGGAGGACAGAGTGCGCGTGAGTTTGTTTTGCCGGTGGGGCTTTTCTTATTTTAGCAGGAAAGCGGAAACGCCTTGTCTTCACTTTCGGTTTCAGGGAAAATAAAATTCACACTTTATTTTAAAAATGTACGATTTCAGTGGAAAGAAAACAATGGGGCTGTATTCCAAGACGCGGAAGACTTTTGATCAGGGAGCAAGTGATATAGACTCAGAGAGCTTACTGCTTTCAAAGCCTTTTGAAAGATGCAGTGCAAGCAGAGCCTAGAGTATCATCTGTTGACAAGATAAAGCTGAAATTCCGGAAGGTAGTGTTGCCTGCAGAGTACGGAAGATGGAACTGCTCAGAGAGAGAAATTGAATTCTGCAGTTTTCTTGAATATTCAACTGAGTGTTGAGCAGAATGTCTAAGGAAACTTACTGAAAGTTTTTTTTGTTTTGTTTTGTTTTAAGATACTGGAGCTTACACAAGGTCAGAAATAGTAGTTGTTTTAAGTAATCGGGCTGGAAAACCACACAGTGTTTGGGGCATTGGATAGAATACACAGAGGAGTCTTACTCTAGTAGTGGCAATAATTAAGCCTGGAGTGATCATTGCCTTAGTGCCTCTTAACTTAAAAAGCAAAACCCATTAAATACTCATAAATAAACAAAAAGCTCCACCAACCAATAAATACAATGTGCTATGGCATTCAATTAAAAATTACCAAGCTTACTTAAAAGAAAGCTCACATTGAGGAGCAAAGTTAGTTGTTGATCACAATTGAAATAGTAGAATCAACAAAGACAATAAAGTGATTATTATAACTATATACTATATGTTCAAAAAGATAAGTAGAGCTATACTTAAAAGTAACAAGTGATGATAACGATTCAGAGATAGAGGAAGTTTCATGGAGATTGGGGGAATGAAAAATGGGTACATCTGCTTTGGAAAACAATCTAGCAGATCCTCCAAGTGTTACATGTGGAATTACCATAGGAGTCATAATTGCATAATTGTTTTGAATAGATACGTATTCAAAACAAATGAAAACACATGCACACAAAAGCTTGTACATAAATATCCATGGTAGCATTATTCACAAGGGTCAAAAAGTAGAATCAGTTGAGTGAATGACTGTAATCATAGCAGCTGGGGAGGCTGAGGCAGGAGGATCAAAGCCAGCTTCAACAAAAGCAAGGTGCTAAGCAACTCAGGGAGATCCTGTCTCTAAAACGCAAAATAGGGCTGGGGATGTGACTCAGTGGTTGAGTGCTTCTGATTTCAATCCCTGGTACCTCTCCCCACAAAAATGTATTCTACTGTCATGTATGAACTAATTGGGACAAATAAAAAATAGATAATGGACTGTACAAATAAAAATAACAGTAATGTGATTTTAACACATTGGAAAATAAAATGGAGCAAAAGCTAGTAAGTTGCAAAGCTAAATCTAAAACAAATATGTCTGACATCAAAGGCTGCATTACTGAATGTTCCAACTAGAGTGAAATCTGAGGTGGTGGTGGTGGTTGTTGTTTTTAATAATAAAACTCAGCCTTTGTTCAAGGCCTGTTTTTTCTTGAATAATGAACAACTTACTCTTGACCTGGTACTCAATATATGTTTTTAAAATTGATTTGAAGTGGCTTAATGTTACATTTTGTTACTCTCCTACCTACATGCAATAGTAGTGTTTTACCCAAAAATGTCTTATATTTTGTTTATAAAATCTTAAATACTTTATTGAAAATTTCACACATTAGAGTAGTTGAAGAGGGCATATCTCAGTGTAAACATTTTTTTTTAAATACTTTTCAGTCACCCCAGTCACCAACATTTTAGAATTTTACATCTACAATTATATTTTCTATGTATGCTTTATATGGAAGACGAGAGGTTTGGGGAATGCATTTAAGGTGATGAAAACCCAATCTTAGCTATGAAAAGCATATTTCATCAGAGAAAAGGAGTTGCCCCTAAGGATGCGTCTAGTCAAATTTCTTACAGCACAGTTCATGGAAATGTAAATATCATGATTTTGGAATAAGATTTAAATTTAGTCTTAGTTTAACTACCTGGTCCCTTTGTGATTTTTTATCAAGAATTTAATCGTATAATTTATTAAGTAAGAATAGTAATGATGTGACAATATTTCTTGAGGAAAACCATAAAAAATAATATTGAAAAATTCTCAACCTATGCTTGACACAAAGTGAGTGTTAGACATTTTAATTTATGTTTCCAAGAGCCCCTTTTGAGTCATATTTAAATAAAAGCCAGAATATGAATAACTTCAGAAGCGATTTGGGAATAATCTGTTATATAAGAATTAAGGAAATGCTTAATGTATAAAACATGCATCAGACTAATTCCAATAAGCTTATCTCTTCCAATTACATTAATGTTTAGTATGTTTTATAATCTATACCTTTTATAGTTTCTGATCATTCATTTTTCAGTGTCAACTTGCAGTAGACTTATGACTCTAATTTGGGGCTTTACTAAAAGAACAATTAAGAAATACCATTCCAGATGCTTAACATTTAGCACAGAAAGCCATAACTGTTCTTGCATGAACTATGATGCAGAGAGTCGGTGTTAGTAGGATGTTAGCTACATCTGTGCTTTGCTGGAATTTTCAGATCCAGATATTGTATTTCATTTCAGGAAGAATCTTCATGTTTAGCATCTAAATTGCAGATCATAAGGCAATTCTTGCCTTGGCTTGCTAGTTCCAGATGGATAGATTCTGACTTACACACTGTTCAATTCCCTATTTAGTCTGTCATCCCTCTAACAATGCTCAGCATCCATGCAATTTGGACACGGACCATCTGAACTAAATTGCAAAGCCCTCATGAGAAAGGATGTCTCACTAGGAGAAAATGCCCATGAAAGCCTATTGAATCTTTTCTAATCACAGCCAAAACCTCCAGTTTCTTACTCTTTGTTTTCTGACAGTAATGAACCAAAACACTATGATGAAAGCTTAGACACCATAGGGATTATTTTTAAGTCTTAAACTTATTTTTATGTATCTTCTACTTGTAATCATGTTTAGGTTGTTCCCATGGCTTCAGTGTAATTCTCAAGGAATATAATTTCGCCTTACCAGTACAGATCTTCCCTTTTCAAGAAGAGTAATATGTTACTCTTCATGGTTCAAGGTAAGCAATAAGTTGATTTGGATTTCCCATTCAATAGTCATCAATATGTACCCAGAGAGAGCAAGCATTTCATACATACATAAAATGATTGACTCAGAAAGAAAAAGAATGAGGATGTGATATGCTGATTTTGCCCCATATTATTTATATCCCTCTGGTGTATAATACTGCAGTATTACTATAGAAATCACCCTTTGAAATGTTTAAAGATGATTATGAAAAAAAGAAAGTCCTAAATCCTCAGGTGAGTTTGTATTTCTATTATATAATGTGCATTAAAAATAAGTTATTTATTAACCCTTTTATCTCTAAATACCTATGTTTGAAACCAATATGGTTTGGACAGTTATTTTAGTTTTCCCAGTGAGTAATTTTTTGAAAACATGGTGATTACAGTATTTGCTTTCATGGTTTCATTGTCAAGATGTACAGTACTATTGTAAAAATGGTGATATTTAAAGAGGTTTTATGGTAGTTCTTTGCTTAGTTTATTTTTTACATTTAGTACTATTATTATTTTCTCAAACAGTCTCCTATTGCTCACATTCATCTTAAAGTTATGGTTCAAGTGATCCTCCTGCCTCAGCCCCCTCAGTGCTAAGACTAAAGGCAAACACCACCTGCACCCAGATCTTGCAATTTAAAATATATAGATGTGAATTTTTATTAAGAGATATAAAGATACTTACTTTCCATATTAAAATTTTAAATCAAATAAATTGACTTCAAAAATCCTCCACTAATTAAAATTCTTTCAAGTTATAGCATTATTTTAATTGCATTATCCTGGTTTTCTCGTGAGATTAAGCATCTTTCCTTAGTTCGTGTTTTTCTAAGAGACAATTAAAATATCTATCTAATTATAGGACTTCCTGAGGTTTTCCTGGTTCTTGGTATAACGAGTCATTTTTTTCATGTATCCCAGACATTTTGACAATTTTGTTAGGAGATTCTATCTCTAAGTCTTCTTTTTTAGTAGATAGTCACTCTTTTAAGTTTAATGTATAAATTTTAATATACTTACATGAGATTTAATTCTCAGAGTTTAGTTTCTGAACCCTTGCAATGCTAATTTTGTCTGCTTTGTTTTACAGTGCTGCTGGAGCTCCTGTGTAATGCCAACTGGTTCCAACTAAGGGACCTCAGGGCATTCTTTTAGGGTAAGGAAGAAGCCATTGGACTTAAGTCTCTCCTTTCCCTAGGTTAAAGTCAGGGAGACACGGGGCTTTGCTACTGCTATGGTTTTGTTCAGAGGGGATCACTCTTTAAGCTCTGGTTCAGGATAAGGAATGGATAGCTGGTATGAATAAGAATTTACTACTGCCATTACTGTTAATGAACAGGACCAAAAGGAGACCCTTTTGGGGGGGGGGGGGAGAAATGCTTGGATCTGCACACTAGGTGTGTTGAATTTCTGTTTTCTCAGGACTTCTGCTAGGATTGAATGTGTTTCTCCTTTTTTATTTTTTTTTCTTATTTTCTTCTCTATTGGTTATTCTTGTGTCAAGCTTCTCTACTACCTGGGTATATGAGAAGTAAAAATAAAACCCAGGGAACTCACCACATCATTATTTATGAAGTCGTACACTCTCTAGCTTGTCTTCCTCCTTCCTTTGAGATATTAGAATCCTCTTATTGTTGTCTGTTAAATAAGTTTCAGAATATATAATTACTCTT